TCTGATCCTGTGGAAAAGCCCTTCTTCAACAGAGAGAAGATACACGCCATTGCAGCAGGAAGAATTACAGTCATGCACACAGGTAGAGCCCACTGCAGGGACACGTGGCCTGCCCATGTGGCAACACAGGACACAGGGCTCAGAAGAGAACCATTTTGTTTGAATGCTCTGCTATCTGATTCTTGGAATTCTCCATTTTTATTTATTTATTTTTGACACTAAGGCTCATATTGTCTTTTCACTGGACCCTGAAAACCACGAAGCCAGCCCTGTACAGTGTATAAATGTTTGTGTACCCATGTGTGTGGCAAATTGAGGCTACCGGGCTTCTCATTTAACAAAAGTGGCTTATGCTGGGAAAGTGGAGTTTCTGCAGCAGATTCAACTGGTATTCTCAGCTTTATTGCATACCTGGGCTCCTCCCTGGCACCATCCCGGAAGCTTGGGCCAGGGAGCATGTGGGAGTTCCTGTAGTCCTACTGCCTCTGTGATTGATCCAGTGTTGAACCCAGAGCACCTGCCCTTTCTAATCATCCCACTGAAATCACCTCCACCATCTCCACAAACCCCAGCCACTCCTCCCATCTCAATGAGAATTCTCAAGAGGAGACTGGAAGTTGTCGGCACACAGGGCTGATTCCATCCACCAACACCAGAAAACCTGATGTGGAACCAGATATACCCTTAGAGAAACTAGGTCTTCAAGAAGGATTCCACAGTTGTTAAGCAATAGTGATGTCCTAAACTAAGCAGCCAAGTCCCTTACATTGGGCAAGATCAACCAAGCTTACAATCATTGCGGCCCTAGCTCTTCTAATAACCAAATAGCCCCAGAACTACCAAATCTGAGACCTGAGGATTGCTGCCAATAAAGCAAGCCCCTCTTTATTCTCACCCTAACTCTTTAGTTCCCACATAAGACCCTCCCTGAGACCACTCTGAACCACAGATATAGCAGGCCACCCCTCCCCAGTCTGCCCACCATGAGAAGCCTGTGTGCCTGGGAGCAGCCACCAAACCTTCTATGATGTGTCTCCCAAACAGAGTGTATGTACAACAGCCCACAGAGCCTACTTACTACACACTGGGAGCTGCACAAGGAGCCACAGAACATGAATCATAGGCACAAGTCGACACCAGCACCCTGCACTTCAGACAATTACCCGAAGAACACATTTTCTGATAATTATAGAGCTAAAAATGGATCCACTTTGCAACCCTTCCCTTTCTCCCAACAAGGCTGAGGAGGTGGCCCAGCAGCAATCAGCTGTGGAGACGCATCCATTCTGGGCTGTTTGGGAGGCTGGCTCCAAGAATTTCTTGGAAGGTACAATTCCCAGAAGGTGGTGATGCTAACTAGATCCATAAGGCCTTCAGGCTAGCCCTAACCTGGGCTTGTAGCTTGGGAACCTGAACATAGCCCATTTGAAACATGAGCAACAGGAGGGAGAGGCCCAGGCTATGCCAATTTTGTTCACAACCCTGTCTCCAAAATATCAAATGGTACTTACCTAAGATGATGGGAAGATGTCACCAGCCAAAGCATCATGTCAACCTGTGTGCCCATGGAAATGCCATAAAGGATTTTAGAAGGAGGGAGGGGCAGGTCACTAAAATGACAATTAGTAAGTGTTAAGTACATGTGAACTGCATGTGTGTGTTATCTACTTTAATTCTCAGGATAACGCCATAAGGATGAATTGTTATTGTTCTCTCACTTAAGAGTTGTCCTGATGTCTGGGGATGTAGCTCAATGGTAGAGCACTCGCCTTGCACGCATGAGGTACGGTGTTCAATGCCCAGTGTTATCCTCCTGACAAAAGAGGGTCATTCTGAGCCATACCCCACAGGTCACACAAATGCTAAAGGTAGGGGCAGGATTGGAAGGTGGATGTTTGCACACTTCACAATTGTGGTAGTTTGAATAGAAATCTCCCTGCCCTGTAGGCTCATATATTGGAAGATCAGTCACTATGGAGTGGCAGTATCTGAAAGGATTAGGAGGATTGGAAGGTGTGCTCTTGTTAGAGGAAGTGTTACTTGGAGATGGGCTTTGGCGCTATCTTTCTCTCCCCCTCCCTCCCTCCCTCTCTCTCTCTCTCTCTCTCTCTGTCTCTGTCTCTGTGTCCCCCCCCCCCCGCTACAGATAAGGATGTAGCTCTCAGCTACTGCTCCAGCATCTGCCTGCACGCCTCCATGCTCCCTGCCATGACGATAATGGACTAAACCCCTGAAACTGTAAGCTAGACCCCAATAATTAAATGCTTTCTTTCATACGAGTTGCCTTGGCCATGGTGTCTCTTCACAGCAACAGAACAGTGACTAAGACAACCGCCGTCCTTTAATCCTAAAGAAACCAAATTGGCTGGGAGCAGACCTTGGGGCATGGAGCCAAACAATGACTGCAGAGAAGGCAGGAAATATGAACACAGGAAACGAATAGGACCAGAGAAGTTGAGAGTTAAAAGTCTTCTGAGTCGAAAATCAGTTAGCTTTTATTTTAAAACACAGGCAATCTGGGCATGGTGGCACACACCTGTAATCCCAGCACGAGCAATGTGGAGACAGGAGGATGAAGAGTTCAAGGCCAGCCTTTGCTACAGCATGAGTTCAAGACCAGCCTAAGCTACATGAGACTCTGTGGCACAAATACACACACACACACACACACACACACACACACACACACACACCACCAGCTAAGATATAGATAGATAGATAGATAGATAGATAGATAGATAGATAGATAGATAGATAGGAAGGAAGGTAGGTAGGTAGATAAATAGATAGATTGATAGATAGATGGATAGATAGGAAGGTAGGTAGATAGATAGATAGATAGATAGATAGATAGATAGATAGATAGATAGATAGATGATATATATATGTAGGTAGGTAGGTAGGTAGATGCCATCTCTAAGGGGCAGTACATGGTAGATACTTGGTACTGACCTGGCACCCCCAAAATGAGGACTATGGCAGTACTCCTAACAAGAGGGACCAAAATAGCCATATTTATTCACTTAACACAAGTGAGCATCTTCAATAGTCTGTGTGCTGCTTTTCATTCGCTGTCACCATATCTGATGGTCAACTTGACACCACACCATTCTAGCAGCAGAGACAGACCTCTTGCATAGTTTACTCACGCACACCTGTGGTAAGAGCCTATATAGTTATCAGATTAAGCTAAAGGAGATGTAAACTATAGCAAGTTCCCAATGGCCAGGAGCAACTTGAAGTTACACCCAGAATGAAACTGAGTTCCACTGACATCAATGAAAACTGTCTCGGGTACCCAGGGCAGGTAGACACAACCGGCAAGGAAAGCCAGGCTTCTGGAAAGAGCTTGGAGCAGAAGGGAGACTCCTGAGAGGAGTAAAGTGATGGGCACTGAACTGGCATCCGCCTTGTGAGTCCCACTATGCAGGCCACTCCACGAAGCCAGAGAAGCAGAAGGCTGCAGGGGGTGACGTCACATACCTCCTGTGCCGGAGTTCCTCAGTGCCTATCTTAGACTGTCTTCCCTGGTGTTGCTCACCGCAGTGAGCAGCAATTATGTCTAACCAGCACTGGAGGCAGCAGCCAGAAAGGAAAGAGTAAGGAAAAGGCACTTGGAATACAGTATTTCCTGAGTAAACTCCTTCTGTCTACAGCTTAGAGAAGCAGATGCAGACCACATGCAGATTTGAACGTCAAAGCTAACTCCTGGAGAGTTTACTTCACATCCTCACTCCGACCTTGGGAAAGCCTAGGGCACAAGCCCGTAGGCAGCAGGACCTTGGTGAGGCAACAGCTGGCCAGTCTGCAATCCAGCAACAGAAGGCTGGGTGAGGCAAGGGGCATGAAAATGGGTGATCACCTGCCGGAGAACACTGGGTGATGCACTCAGGATGGGAGGGTGGAAACTTGGGGTCTGAGGGACGACAGTTTGATTTTTGTCTTCCCAGGGGTTGTGTCACTTAGGCACTATCCTAAGGAACAAAGAAGAGAATGTGGGATTGGTGACCGGGGAGGGTTACTGGTGTCTGCGACATTATCTAGGAAATAATTTGCACATTTTTAATGCAAATTGTATGCTATTTTCTTAATCATCCTTTATTCCTTGGATCACTAGTATTATCAAGTGCATGCTCTCATCTGAGCATCCCTGCTGAGACAAACAAAATGCAAAATTCTAAGATACAGGGTTTCTTAGAGAACATTAAAGGGCAACTTACTAGCTGAGAAATGGCGGCCTTCTAGATTAGACTCCCTCCAACGAAATACAGAAAAGAACTTTAGAACTTTGTAAAAAACTCTTTCCCTTGTGTCAGTGCTTGGTTTTACAAAAGACTGTATCTGGGCAGATAATGGCTTTCCTGTGGCCAGTGCCCCCCATTCTGTACTTAGGTCAGTGATGGCCATAGGCTCAAGGCCATGGGCCTTGCTTATGTTACCCGTGAGTGCCTCTTCTCTAAGCTTTGCTGACTGGAGAAAGGTAGTGTCTGACAGACAATGCCTAACGCCCAGCCTGGGTGGCACACATGCTTCCAAAAGGAGCTTGGGGCAGCTGTGGTCTACTGCCCCCCTTGACAGCATTTTCCAATCCCAGCCCTCCAGCATACCCAGCAATCCTGCTGAAAGGTCAAACTGCAAAGCTGAGTGACAGGTTCGAACCTCAAGGCACCCAGTTAAAAACTTCCTTAGATCAGGACGTGCCATTAAAATCCTGAGCCCAGCATGGACAGGATCAAAGACTGGGAGGTGGCAGGACCTGTAAATTCCAACCGTCATCATACGGCAAAGGGACGCCCTACAACTCCAATCAGAGAGCCCCGGGACACAGCCAGTGTCTTGTTGACACCTGACTGAAGGCCACCTCCTCTAATCTGTCCCTCTTGCCTCTGAAGAGTTCCAGAGAACTGAGGCCTCCTCCCACCTCATCCCCCTGCTGCCATTCACCTGAGGACCCCTTTCACTATGACCCTCCCTCCATCCACCTGGAGGAGCCCTCTGACCTTTCGCAGAAGGAAGCAGATGCGTTCGATGTTCCTCAGCCGCTCCCTCTGAGGATGTGCAGGAAAGAAAGGAAACAGGAGATTAAGGGTGGCTGAGAATGCGAGGCACACATAGTCTATCACAGCAGAGGAAGCGGAACCCACAGAGACACACCCTAGGCACAGGCACTGTCTCTTCCCGGCAGTCTGAACCTCATCAGACCCACTTGCTTTCTGAATGCCGGTATCCACAGCCTAGAAGGTGGCTTCAGATCTCCTGTAGCCAGAGTTACAACCTATGTGGGTGCTAGGAACCAAACTCAGGTCCTCTGTGAGAGCAGTAAGGAATGTTAACCACTTTCTTTCCAGCCCTTTAACAGAGCACACCTTAAAAAGCAAACACCAAAACAAACAAAACTTCTCAGAGAAACTGAGGAAGACACATGACATCAAGGCACATGTGCTTGCATACATGAGCGTGTACAGACTCCTGGCAAAAGCATGCATTCTTCTCTTCCCACCCAGCATTCATTTTCCTATAGTCAAAGCCTCCATGCATCCACAGCAGACGGTCTGGATGCAGAGTGGGCACCATACGCTCACTGCGTATCTCAGGCACAGGACACCTCGGTGTCTCTCCAAGAGCAGCAAGCTCGTATCCTCATTAGCGGAAGCTCGTATCCTCATCAGCGGAGACTCTTTGCTTTTTCTATGTGAGTGTGCTTGGAGGAAGCAAGCCCTCCCTGGACTCAGGCTACCAGTTGTGCGCTGGGCTCTGACTTTTCCAGAAGTCAAGTTCATCTGTCTCCAAGGACTGGCTCATTTCCAGGGAAAGGCGTCATAAGGCTGAACAGAGGGTGCTGCCCACAACAGACGTTAAATGCCCCCGGCTGGGTGCTGCCCACAGCAGACGTTAAATGTCCCCGGCTTCCTCTCTCTGCGATAACTGTCAAGACGTCTGAGCCACGCCGAACACAGCTGTGACACCTCTGTGCTTCATTACCGAAGCAATTTGGTTGCCGTAGACACAATGGTAATGAGTTCCTTGTGGATCTGGAGAGGACAGGTGGCCGGGACACTTCGGTTTCCCTAATTGAATCATAAATACGGAGATCTCTGTGCAGCCCATAAACCCAGAGGAAGGAGGCACATCAGGATGGATTACTGTCCACATCGCAGGGACACAAGCTACACACATGAGAGTGCATACAGATGCATACACAAGCTACACACATGAGCGTGCATACAGATGCATACACAAGCTACACACATGAGCGTGCATACAGATGCATACACAAGCTACACACATGAGCGTGCATACAGATGCATACACAAGAAGAGACACACATACTCCAGCAAGCCAGAGCCTTGCAGGAAAACACTGCCCCTCCCTGTGACAGAGACTTCCAGTGGGGGCTGATGATGGAGACGGAACCCTCCTGGCCCTGGAAGAGGTCCACCACTCCCACTAATACTTGAAGCTTTAAGGCATCTTAAACCTATGGGGCATGGGTTGGATGTCAGGGGTCAAAGGCTTCCCTAGCAATGCCCAAAGATCTGAGTTCCATGCCTACCATAAGAAAGGGGCAGGGGAACCAAGTGGATCTCACGCCCTCATTAAAAAAATGCATTGCCTCTGTGAGTTTGAGGCCAGCCCTCAGGAGGCAGAAGCAGGTGGATCTCAGTGAGTTCAAGACCAGCCTGCTCTACAAAATGAGTTCCAGGACAGCCAGGAGTCTGACACAGAGAAACCTTATCTTGAAACCCACCCCCAACCCCCAAAAAAGAAATGCATTGCACAGTCAGCAAGTTCTTGGGACCCAAGTTCCTCTAGGGCCAGAACTGTCAACCAGTGAGGCAAGCCTGTAAGTCTCAGAGCCTGAATGTTACTCTACTCTGGAGGCTCCAAGGAGGCCAGAGGCCTGAGGCAGTTAAATGAACTGGCCAGAGCACTTCATTCCCTGCTGGGAAATAATGTCATGACAACAGGGAAAATAATAACATGTCTATGCACTTGCCTAATTACAGCTTTGAGGATTTTTCAGCTTTGTTTTTAATCCCTCTTCCCCAGGGGCACCTCAAGCTCTGCTCTGTCCATGTCTGGGCTTCACAGGACTCAGCTCCTTAATTAATACGATAACTAATTAGAAATGTTGGGATGTAGTTCATTGATAAAGCCCTTGTCTGGTGCATGCAAAGGCTTGAGCTCCACCCAAGCACCGCAGGAAGAGAAAGGATGCCTTTATCCTGCAGTCCGTTTCTGTTTCTGGTGAGTAGTTCTGGACGCTACCTACTGAGTGCTGTTTCTGCACTATCCTTTTCCAGAAGCACCCCCTTCCCTTAGAGGGGAGGGGATATGCAAATCCTAACTTAATGTCTAAATTAAGGACTTGTCCTGATGAGACAAAAACAGACTCCACAAAAGTATCTCCAGGTTGTACCAGGTGCCTGCAACCTGGCATGGAACTGGCATGATGAAAACAAGGGGATGAACAAATTTTCCTTCTTATCCTGCTCGGGGATCTGTCGGAAAACTCCGGATACACTGGATGAGGGAGCAGCTCGGGCTCCTGAATTTCTTGCATTTGGAAATGAACACTCTTGGCTTCGAGCCACTCTGAGCACCTATGGGTACTGACGAGCAGGTGTGTGCTGTTGGTGCCAAACTCGGTGTCCAGAAAGATGTGAGCCCCAGGCAAAAACCATTCAGGCCTGGCAGAGTCAAGTTATCACAGGTGAAGGTAAGGCTGGTGGAGGAGAATAAAGCAGGTTTTTAAAACTACAACGTTTATGAAGCTTTCAAGTGGTTCTTAAGGGTACTTCGACTAACCCAGTTTGCTTTTTATAACTGACTTTGAAAGAGTTGGGCTCTACTTTATAGAATCAAAGACTGTTATGCCAAAGTGGGGCTTAGATATTATAAAGCCAAGTCTTTTCAAGAACTAACTTGAGTTGGTGGTCAGAAGACCTGACATCCAGAAACAGAAACAGAACCCAGAGCTCATCCACCAGACTGCACCAGATTCCTGGTGTGCAACAAGCTGACTCCAAGCCACAGGCACCAGAGATGAAAGCCCACCAGATACCGGGGCTGGACCTGGTACTGCATTCATCCATGTACCCTCCATGAGAAACCCAACGATTGCCCACCTACCACAGAGCAAGAGGTCCATACATAGCACTTGCACACCCTGCAGACATGCTGGTCAACACAGAGTCTTTTCTATGGTCAGAGATAAGGACCCAAAAATCACTGGCACCAGGTTTTGAGGACTCAGCACCACAGTGTAGCAGATCCCTCCACCCCCCACCCCCGGGGTCACAGGAACTGCCACACTTGACTGGCAATGTATTGATTGCAAGAGCTCAGCTGACCTCAGCAAGGAGGCTCTGTAACAACTGTCAGCAAGGAATAGAGGCAGGACCAGGACAACATGTTCTCCTTTATTCTCTTCTGTAAAACCTCCTCTGTCCTTCGTGAGCCCGGTGACTTGTGGGGACACTCCCTGCCCACCGCAGGCACCACTACTTACCGCATGGACAGGGTTGCACTGGTCTATGGGACTCTTGAAATCCGTCCTTAACTCGTCAAAGGCGATGATCTGAAAGAGAACACACAATCAGGATACTGTGCACACGCGGTCAGCCCCGCCCCCAGCTCCATGGGAGGAAAGGAAAGGCTGGAGACCACACAAAGCTGCCCAGGAGCTGACCACTGCCAAAATGGGCAGTGGCAATGGACACATGGGTTTGCTGTCTTCTGTCTGTGGTGCTTGCCTTGAAACTCCCCATGTAACATTTTTTAAATGTTTTCTATTCCATATGCAGCCTGTACAAAGATGTAGAAAAACTATTCTGATGGAGCAGAGTCTGGTAAAGGCATAAAAATGTAAAACTTCCATCCAGTGTTTCAGCACCTTCCCTGACAGACACTGCAGTTGACTCATTTATCTCTGTGTTTGTTTGTTTGGCAGAAATGCCCAAAGTAAAAAGAAGTCGGGGGAAAGACAGGGAAGCTAAGCTGTCACGATGAGAACCAATCCCATCTCTAAATGTCCAAAGGCTACATCAGCAGCCCCAAACAGGCCATGCCTATGACTGGAGGCTCCAGGGCTCATCCAGATATAGACTCCAAGCTCCCTAGGGAGCTATGGCTCCCCATTTGTCAGAAGGGAATAGGAAGGTGACTGTCTGCCACCATAGGATGAGGCATGTCCCAGCCACAGAAGGAACCAATGAGGGTAAAGGCTCTCAAGTCCTCATCCTAAATCCAGTGTCCTGTCTGTTATTGGGGGGGGGAGCTCAAGTGGCAGAACACAGAGGTGTTTGGTCCAGGGACTCTCCACTCTTGGCGGAGGCTTTGGTATTCTCAGCAAAGTCTCTTCCCGGCTACAGTTTGGATCTTGAATGCTATCTGAAGGCCCATGTGTTAAGGGGTTGGTACCCAGCCCATGGTACCCTTGGTTTGTTTTTTCGTTAAGTTCTTTGGTTGGTTGGTTGGGTGGGTGGGTGGTTTGGTTGGATGTGTTTTGTTTTGTTTTGTTTTTTGATACGGGGTCCATGTATCCTGGGCTGGCTTCCAACTTACTATATATGAGGATGATCTTCTGATCCCCCTGCCTCCACCTCCTAAATGCTGAGGTGACTTGGTGCACCCCCCACCCTTGATTCATGCAATGCTAGAGGTGTAACTCAGAACTCCAGGCTAAGCAAGCACTCTACCAACTGAGATACCTCCTAGTCCATTACTATATTGGGGAGAAAAACCTTAAGAATTGGGGCATAGCAGAGTTAAGACCTCTTAGTTTTATTAGGTTGTTTTTTGTTTTGTTTTCCTTCCTGACCACTTGGCAGTGCAGAGGTGAACAGGGCTCCTCTACCATGTGGTTCCCTTTCCAGGATGTTCTGCCTAATCACAGACCCAAAATCACAATGCAATAAACCATGAGCCGAAGCATTTGGTGACACCAGGAGTTAACCCAAAACTTTCTTCCTTATAAGTTGTTTATCTCAAGTATTTTGTCACAGTAAAGGAAAGATGACTATCACACCTACTTAGCATGAATGAACATACTCTCCACAAAGGCACATTTCAGGGAACCCTGAATATGTGGCAGAAATAATGAAGCGAGGAAGTCAGCTTAGCACCCCGAGAGCTCCTGACCCAGCCCCATGTGGCCACCGTTAAGATCCAAGTGAGGATGGTGACTTCACTCTGCAAAGCAGTGTATTTACAGCATCCATGTGTCCCCCTAACTTCAACATGGAGGAACATGCTAGCATAACTTGAGCTAAGAGGGCATTCCCACACTACCTCTGATGGACAGTTGGGTATCTAGCCGGGACTTCTCAGGGTGATCACTCTGCTGCTGGCTCCAGCAAGCTGAGCATTGTCTTCACTGGCCTGACCTATGATCTTCATAAAGTTTCCACCCACAGCCAAAGTCAGAGCAGTGAGCTGCAGCCTGCAGGCCAGGCCAGCCTGCCACCCACTCTCTCATAACCTGTGGGCTAAGAATGACTCTAGCATTTTATAAAGAGTTGAAAAATATCATCAAAAGAAAAAGACTGTTTTTGCAACATGTAAAAAAATATGCTAAATCCAAACCTTGATGTCCACGGATAGAGTTTTGCTGCTGCTTGGTCAAGTTCTCTTTCTGTATGTTGCTTTTGAAGACTCTGAGGCAGGGGTGAGGCAAACATATCTGCTAACATTTCTTTCTAGAGAAAATAGTTGATTCCTGGTCTATTCTTGTATTTATCCTCTAGATCAGTGTTTCTCAACCTTCCTAATGCTGTAACCCTTTAATACAATTCCTCATGTTGTGGTGACCTCCCAACCATAACATTATTAGGACTGCTAATTCATAACATAATTTGGCTACTATTATGAATCGTAATGTAAATACATTTGGTGATGGGGTTTGCTGAAGAGGTTCATCCCACAGGTTGAGAACCAGAACCACTGCAGAACATGGTAATACCAGAACAGGAAAGGCAGAAATAGGGGATCCCTGGGGCTGGCTAGCCACCCAGACTGTACAAATCCGTGAACTCCAAGTTCAGTGAGGCATCTTGTCTCATAAAGTGAAGTGGAGAGCAACTAAAAAGATACATGTACACCTGCAGACACAAATGTATATATATACACACATGATCATGAACCTACACTGCACACACACACACACGTCTGTTATCTATCACATAAAAACTGTTTGGTTCCTGCAGGAATTTCTACAGGGCAGTGCTACATGAGACACGTAGAATGAGTCCAGTCTCCCCGACATGGAGCCTGTTAGGGATTGCCACTATTGTGACCTCGGCACATCTCTATTCCCTAAGCAAAATCTCTCCACCCATTGTTTATACAAACCAGTGCTAGGTCATCTCATTATCCTAATTATCATCTACTGGCATGACTGGCTGGACATGTCCACCCAAAACATACCTGTCAGAACTGAGCACTATCCAGAGTGAGGCTGGTTAGCACAGAACAAGAGCATCAGTTGCCATCTCTACTCTGCACCCCAAGCCTCTGCAAATGCATCTTGGCTGTACCAGCCCTGATCTTCTCTGTGTGTTCTGGTTAAACTCAATCCACCTTATTCTACATGAGTATTGTTGGCTTTGGGAGCCTGAGAGCTGGCAGACCTTTGCCCCTATTCACTCTTCCTTAATCCATCCAGTCCAATCTTTTGAGACATAACCTGTCTCTCATATGTACATCCTGATAAATTCAATGTCCTCAGACTCCTCAACAGTATCCCCCATCCTCAGCCTCCTCATCAGTATCCCCATCCTCAGCATCCTCGTCAGTATCCCCATCCTCAGCATCCTCATCAGTATCCCCATCCTCAGCATCATCAGTATCCCCATCCTCAGCATCCTCACCAGTATCACCATCCTCAGCATCCTAACCAGTATCCCCATCCTCAGACTCCTCACCAGTATCCCCATCCTCAGCATCCTCACCAGTATCCCCATCCTCAGCATCCTCACCAATATCCCCCATCCTCAGCATCCTCACCAGTATCCCCATCCTCAGCATCACCAGTATCCTCCATCCTCAGCCTCCTCATCAGTATCCCCATCCTCAGCATCCTCACCAGTATCCCCATCCTCAGCATCACCAGTATCCTCCATCCTCAGCATCCTCATCAGTATCCTCCATCCTCAGCATCCTCACCAGTATCCCCATCCTCAGCATGCTCATCAGTATCCCCATCCTCAGCATGCTCATCAGTATCCCCATCCTCAGCATTCTCACCAGTATCACCATCCTCAGCATCATCACCAGTATCCTCCATCCTCAGCATCCTCATCAGTATCCCCATCCTCAGCATCCTCACCAGTATCCCCATCCTCAGCATCCTCATCAGTATCCCCATCCTCAGCATCCTCATCAGTATCCCCATCCTCAGCATCCTCATCAGTATCCCCATCCTCAGCATCCTCACCAGTATCCCCATCCTCAGCATCATCAGTATCCCCCATCCTCAGCATCCTCACCAGTATCCCCCATCCTCAGCATCCTCATCAGTATCACCATCCTCAGCATCCTCACCAGTATCCCCATCCTCAGCATCACCAGTATCCTCCATCCTCAGCATCCTCATCAGTATCCCCATCCTCAGCATCCTCACCAGTATCCCCATCCTCAGCATGCTCATCAGTATCCCCATCCTCAGCATTCTCACCAGTATCACCATCCTCAGCATCATCACCAGTATCCTCCATCCTCAGCATCCTCATCAGTATCCCCATCCTCAGCATCCTCACCAGTATCCCCATCCTCAGCATCCTCATCAGTATCCCCATCTTCAACCTCCTCATCAGTATCCCCATCCTCAGCATCCTCATCAGTATCCCCATCCTCAGCATCCTCATCAGTATCCCCATCCTCAACCTCCTCATCAGTATCCCCATCCTCAGCATCCTCACCAGTATCACCATCCTCAGCATCCTCACCAGTATCCCCATCCTCAGCATCATCAGTATCCCCCATCCTCAGCATCCTCACCAGTATCCCCCATCCTCAGCATCCTCATCAGTATCATACCCCCACTAATTATGGACTCAAAACAGGGCCATCGACAGAGACTTCCACCTGTCACTCCAGCACCAGGGAGGCTAACATCGGCACTTCCTGGGCCTGATATTTATCCAGCTAGAAAGACTCACAAGCCCACACATTTTGATCCTCTTCCCACACCAGCCTCATGCCTGAATCTCTGTCCTTGCACAAGAGAGCGCAGGCAGGTGAACCTGTGCTGCCTGGGGCAGGAGCGGCTGGTTGTGAAGCAGGACAGAGGATCTTCTGGGAATCCTGAGACATTCAGTTCCATGCCTGGGCTCCAACCTGGGCACAGCTTATGCCAGTGAGTTCCACCCCATGTGAGCTATGGCCAGGCAGCTTTCTGTCATGGCCAGGGTCTTCAGCATCCTCACTACACCAAAGTCACAGCTGAATCTGTCTACTCAGTTGAAAAACTCCAGGAGGCATCTTTTATACTCAGGTCCTGCGCTGGCAACTTGGAGATACTAAACTCTACAAAATGTAGCTCCTGGCCTCACAACATGCCCTGTCTGTGGCAGCAGGGTA